ACGCTGGACACAAATAGACCACATAGCAATAAGCTATCGTTGGCGTGGGTCGGTAGGAGATTGTCGCTCCTTCTGGAACACGTGTGTAGATACCGATCACGCACTGGTCCGGGCTCGTGTGTGCTTACGACTGAACGGACGTAGGAAACAGCTGGCGGTAAAACCATCACGCCCCCAGCTCGATCAGGAAACTAAATCCCTATTTGAGGAAGAACTAGCTAAACGCATATCTGAATCGACAGCTGTGCTCACCCTGGAGAAGCCTGGAAGAATATTCAGTCAGCTATAGATACAGCTGTAAAAGCTGTGAATAAGACAAATCCAAAGGTGAGTAAAAACCACTGGATTTCGACTGCCTCATCCGAACTGATAGATGCTAGAAGACTTATTCCGGCGAGCTCCGAATTCAATGAGGAGCGAAAGCTGCACAAAAGGAAACTTACTAAAAGTCTCCGCAAGGACCGTGAACAGTGGTGGGTGACAAAGGCGAAAGAGATGGAAAAAGCATTGGCGATAGGCAACACTAGGCAACTCTTTAGACTCATCACAGAATCGGGCGGGAAAAGGCAATTCATAAGTGAGACTATTTCTGAGAAAAATGGCTCCTTAATTAGCTCTCAGGATAGACGCCTTGAACGCTGGAAAGAACACTTTGAGGAACAATTTAACTTGCCTACAGCCACACTGAACCTCCCCGCCATCCACCACGTACCCGAATGGGATATAGACACTGGTCCGCCGTCTGTAGGTGAGGTTACAAAAGCTATCAGTAATTTGAAACGAGGCAAAGCGGCAGGACCCGACGGAATTATTCCGGAGGTGTTTAAATATGGGGGTGACATACTAGTTTGTAGATTAACTGAGGTACTAGGCAAAGTCTGGGAATCAGAGACAGTACCATCAGACTGGGGTAAGTCACTTATTATACCGATATTCAAGAAGGGAAACAAGTCCTCGTGTGATAATCATAGGGGGATCAGCCTAACGAACATAGTCTCTAAAATCCTAGGCTCAGTAATCATGCATAGACTAAGCAGAACTCGGGAGGAACAGACAAGGGAAAATCAAGCAGGCTTTAGACCAGGTAGAGGGTGCATAGATCATATCTTCACTCTTCGACAGATTCTAGAACATAGACACACTTTTCGGCGTCCAACAATTGTCATATTTCTTGACTTGAAGGCGGCCTTCGACTCCGTGGACCGAAAAGTACTATGGCAATGTCTGACTGTGAAGGGAGTGCCAAGAAAGTACATTGCACTAATCAAGGCACTCTATTCAAACTCACGTAGTCGTGTAAGGGCTTATGGGGAATTGTCATCTGAATTGGTAACAACCAGTGGTGTCCGACAGGGATGTCCACTTTCCCCATTTCTGTTTAACTTCATCATAGATATGCTAATGGAAGTATCCTTAACTGAACGTAGTGACTTAGGAATCGACTTGTTACCAGGGAATAATCTAATGGACTTAGAATATGCAGATGACATAGTCCTGTTAGGGGAGGATGCTGACAAAATGCAGAGTCTTCTGAACACCTTGAGCAGCAATCTTCGTATGTTTGGCATGCGATTCGCCCCTGCAAAATGTAAGATGCTGCTACAGGACTGGACACGTCAACCCCTAACTTAGTGATAGGGAGTGAAGTGATAGAACATGTTGACCACTTCACCTACTTGGGAAGTTGTATTAGCACCAACGGACTGATTGGCGATGAAATCTCAGCACGGATCCGAAAAGCTCGAGCTGCTTTCGCTGACTTACACCATCTCTGGCGTAGGCGTGACATCCGGTTATCAACCAAGGGACGTGTGTACTGCTCATCAGTTCGCTCCGTCCTTCTCTATGGCTCTGAAACATGGCCAATACGCGTTGAAGACATGAAAAGGTTGACTGCTTTCGATCATAGATGTCTGCGATCTCTGTCTCACGTTAGGTGGTTTCACAAGATAAGTAATGTTGACGTTAGGCGTAGAGTGTTGGGCAAAGAGGGAAAATCAATCGACGAGGTTATAAAGTTACATAGACTAAGATGGCTAGGTCACGTGGTGCGCATGCCTAACCACCGCCTCCCCCGACGGGCATTGTTAGCTGATATAGGTTCAGGTTGGAAAAGAGCCAGTGGTGGCCAAACAAAAACATGGCATCAATCCATGAAATCCTTGACAGTTAAACTGAGTCAGGTAGGGAGATGCAGACTCCCGGGTTGGGGCCCTCGGGACTCTAGGAATCAATGGCTGGAGACAATAGGTGACATGGCTCAAAATCGTTGTCAATGGCGCAGATGTATTCAATCTCTGTAATCTTTCATATTCCTTTCTACCATTACCCATTCTGTTTCACTCTTATATTTGTCAAACTCTATTAATTCTCTTCACTCATCTTCTTGTCTACCTCTGTGTGCTATTTGGAACGTGGCAACTCGAACTGCTGCACTTCGGTGCCAAGTTCTATGTTGAATCCAGACAGACTGGTGAATTTTAAACGCAGAGCTGACAAAGAATGTTTTAGCTATTATTTTTCTAACTTTCAATAGCAATAATTCATTAGCTGTATCGCCTTTGAACGATAAAGTCATATAATGTACACACATGTTTGTTCTTCACACTTAGCAAGCATTTCTCTCTCTCTCTCTATGGAGACCTTCAACCAATTTTCCCAGATATCTATGCTCATGTAATGAGTTTTCTATTTTCCTTATTTCATCGTCCAGAGTATCGTTTGTACACATTTTTTTGATGTGGTTGTGTTGTCTGAGATCGACAGTTAATGCGCGAAGCTTTCATCACCCTACTAGGCGACATATTCATCGCATACTTCAATTGAATGAAGTGAGCTTTTAGATATCTCCACGAGTTTATTAATCATCTCGCCTGGTGACCTTGGACGTGATTGTTTGTTTTTGCGTTTTCACACCTTCTTTTTTTTCCTTTACGTTCCCAGTGGAACATAGGGCCTCAAGGTAGTGGCTTGAAGTTTCTGTAGCAGTGGTGTTTATTTTTACAGGATGGGGTTGCTAGCCTCATACCCAACCTTTCCTCTTTACCAGCATTATTTCTGGCTTAGCGAGGTAAAGGTTACTTGTATTGGGCAGATGATTAATAAACTCGTGGAAAAATCTAAAAGCTCACTTCAACAAATTGAAGTATGCGATGAAGATGTCGTCTAGTAGGGCGATGAAAGCTTCACAAATTAACTATCGGGCTCAGAGAACACAACCACATCAAAATCATCCACCTGAGCTACAAATCTTCTCTATTGTACACATTTTTCTGTCGTGAAACATTAGAGGTACTGATGAGATTTCATTTGTATGCAAGCGGGATAAACGATCCGACTCTAATAACCACATCGGTATCAAATATCTGTGATTAATATTGTATTATATAGTTGTAAGACCTGATGAGAAATAACCAGAAATACGAATCTGTTTAAATTACTTTCCATAATTATTCTAAATTAACAACTGAGGAAGCTAAAGTACACACGTGTATACTATTCAGTCAATTGGCTGAAATCCCCAACATCTGAAGTGGAACTGAGAATATGGATGCTGTGTAACTGGATCAACCACTAGTACCTCGACGCCATCTATGACATTTTCTTATTCCTTATATGGCTGCAGGACAAAGTTACCTTGAGTGACTTCTAGTGAGAAGTTATGACCAGTCGGCAGTGAGAATGGAGTTCCCCCAACGATGACATTGGTTGGTGCCAGTCGCGCTAAATGCATCACGAATCGACAGAAGTTGGAATTCATGGGTTGGCTATTTAATCGGCTCCCACTGACTGAATGGTATATGCGAGCCAGCTCGCCTTATAACCGGAAGGTCCTGGGTTCGAAATCCAGCGGGTGTGCACTGCCGATGAGTCCCAAACTGATATCAATCTATGGTCTAACCTGAAACAAATAGAATCCCTACACGATAATTCTTGAAAATTATTCCTTAACGTTCCTGGTGGAACATAGGGCTTTAAGGCAGAGCTTTGAAGCTTCTGTAGCAGTGGTGCTTTGTTTTTACACGGTGGGGGGGGGTTTCTAACCTCACAGCCGACCTCCCGTCTTTACAGGCTAAGCGAGATTTACGAATGTGTTGGCCAGGGATCGAGCCCCGGACCATGTGTATGGTTGGCGAGCGTTCTACTATTGAACTACCACTTTAGTTTTATGATTTTAGGGTTTTTATTTCACTTTTGCTATATATAAACACATAGACGCACACACACACATCTGTAAGATTATAGTTACTCTTGATAGTTAGGACAAAGATAAATTATATGTATATGTATTTGTATATTATATTACTCCATGATATATTCAGACAACAATCAGTATAGATGGGAGGAACGTGAAAGAAACAACCTCCTTTACCTACCTGGGAAGCATCATTTCAACTAAGGGCACACAGAACTGACGAGGATATCAACGCAAGAATCGGGAAAGCAAGACAAGCTTTCATTACTCTTAAGTCTGTGTGGAGGTCAACAGCACTCAGCATCAAAATAAGATCCGGATTTTCAACTCCAATGTGAAGTCAGTCAGTGCTACTTACTACACGAATCAGAGACTTGCACTGAGCGTCATAAGGAGCATCTCAAACAAACTACAGACCTTCATCAACAGCTAGCTGTCTTCGCTCAATACTCAAGATCAGATGACCAGAAAAGATTGGATACAGCGTCGGATCTCTGGAAGCGAACCAACCCAGCAGGAACCTATTGGGCAACAAATAAACAGGAAGAAATGAAGGTGGATTGGAGGGCATACTCTGAGGAAACCATCAAGTGACATCACTAGACAAGCCATTGCTCGAGTGGAACCCGAAAGGGAAGCGGCGAGTTGGTTATCAGTGCAAGGGTGACTTGGAGGAGGTCATGTGAAGAGGAGATGAAAGCATGTGGGCAGACTTGGAGCGGAGTGAAAAAGTTGGCAGAAAACCGAACGCAATGGAGACGTTGTGGCTGAAGCCCTATGTTCCTCTAGGAATTAAAGGATAAAATAATAGTAAATGATATATTCACATCAAATGATATAAACAAGATTGTGATTGACTTCGTTCATCGAACAAGACAAAATAGAGAAATAAAGAGTAGAAATTACAGATGTTTATGTGGAAAAACACACACATACATATATATCAATATCTTCATTATTATTAGTCATGTACAATACAAAAGTAAGCGGACACTAAAGAAACAAGTATACATAAAGTGCGATAGAGATCATAAAACAAGACATTATTAGTTTTTTTTAATCATTATTAGTATTATTAATACTGACCGTAAAGTAAATTATCTATTTATACACAAAAGGATTTAAAAACATTGTGGAAATAATGCTTTCAATTGGGCTTCTGTATCCTCTGGTGATGTGACTGAATGACCGGTTGTTAGTGGATCATTGAAGATTTCAAAATCATTTCCTCCCTGAAATTAAAACAAAAAAAATGGACAGTGTTAAGACATACATACACAGCACTAGACTTTTAGAGTCAAGAAAATGTGTTGTAATTAAACTTGCAAAGGAGATAACACTGTTTTGAATCTCTCAATTGGTAAAATAAATGATAGTGTTAATATTTATAAAGATGAGAAATATTGAGGGTAGGGAATTTTAGACACAATTCGGTCAATGATTGTCTTGAAAAGCCTTGTTCAATGTGAGTGAATCAAGACAGAAGATAACTTGAATGATAATACTGCAGTTCTGCGATAATCATCAATATGTGATGAGAGTTGTCTATTAGCCAAAAGTGGTAGACAGCAATATACGTCCCGAATCAGGGTCATGAGAAAAAACAATAACGAAGGTTAACCAATCACAGAAGACTTAACGTGTGCAAATAGGATTCGCAGATATGTGGCTTAAATTTCTAAGAAACAGTCACAAGCGGTACAGAATAACCTTCAGCAAGAAAACAATCAATCGGAAGAAGTTGCTTCTCTGCTAACAATAACGAATAATAATGTACATAAAAATATATAAATATATAAAAGACGGATTCAGCGAAGAAAATTTTCTTTATCGACGAAATCATCTTCAGAGGCTGTACAGTCGTATTTATACTTAGAAGAATGTATAGTGGTCTATTATTGAATAATAGGGGGTGACATAATTGCTGTAATTAATCATAAGTGGCTTTAGAGGTGAAAATTAAAAGTTGTAAATTACATGGTACTTGACGGGACAAAGATAGAAGTTAGAAAAGGTTAAAATTGCTCTTGAGTGAGAATAAAGTTATTAGAGTGTCAATTTAACAAGTGTGAAGAAGGTGTGAAGTACCATGTAATTTACAACTTTTAATTTTCACCTCTAAAGCCACTTATGATTAATTACAGCAATTATGTCACCCCCTATTATTCAATAATAGACCACTATACATTCTTCTAAGTATAAATACGACTGTACAGCCTCTAAAGATGATTTCGTCGATAAAGAAAATTTTTCTTCGCTGAATCCGTCTTTTATTTTCTTCATGACTCGATGGGTATTTTCCGTGATATAAATATATCTTTTGATTTCCCCAATAAGCGATCTGTTGCCTGGCCTTTGTCTTCTGTCGTTACAAATACAATATTGAATGACATTATGAGCACCAAAAAAAAGGCTACATAAAAAATCTCATCGTTTGTGCGGAGGCTAACATACTATCCAGAGGCCCAGACCGAAGAAGGTGGTTTCCTTGAGGAGCCATATCCCTACTTTCTGATTTGAAATCTGCGTTCCTATGGTTTCCGATGGCTAAATAAGGTTTATACACTATTCTGGAGTGAATATATATGCCCTGTGTTTGGAATTAGGGTTTTCCAGCTACTATAGATAGGCAGACCTGTCACCAGTTTATTCGTAGTTTGTCAGACGTTCTCATTCGCCCTTTCAGCTTTTTTGAGGAATAGTACTCAAAAGCTACTTACAATTTCATGTAGTTAGACATGAGCCATACCTATTGGGTGTGAGAGCTGGTGATATTCCACCTGGGGCTTCCCAAACCTCAGTAGGTGGGACAGGGATCGAACGCGTGACTTACTGGTTGAAAGTCTAGCACGCAGACCAATGAGTCACAGCTTCAGACAGACTTTAATAAATAAAACCATTTTCATAAGAAATTAGAAATCAGGGGTTCTTGTAACCATTTTCCCTAGTGACAGTATGTCTGTCTGGATTCAACATAGAACTTCGCACCGAAGTGCAGCAGTTCGAGTTGCCACGTTCCAAATAGCACACAGAGGTAGACAAGAAGATGAGTGAAGTGAATCAATAGAGTTTGACAAGTATAAGAGTGAAACAGAATGGGTAATGGTAGGAAGGAATATGAAAGATTACAGAGACTGAATACACCTGCGCTGGCCATTGACAACGATTTTGAGCCATGTCACCTATTGTCTTCAGCCATTGATTCCTAGAGTCCCGAGGCCCCCAATCCGGGAGTCTGCATCTCTCTACCTGACCGACTTAGTTTAACTGTCAAGGATTTCATGGATTGATGAGGCCATGTTTTTGTTTGGCCACCACTGGCTCTTTTCCAGCCTGCACCTATATCAGCTAGCAATGCCCGTCGGGGGAGGCGGTGGTTAGGCATGCGCAGCACGTGACCTAGCCATCTTAGTCTATGTAACTTTATAACCTCGTCGATTGATTTTCCCTCTTCGCCCAACACTCTACGCCTAACGTCAACATTACTTACCTTATTAAACCACCTAACGTGAGAAAGAGATCGCAGACATCTATGATCGAAAGCAGTCAACCTATTCATGTCTTCAACTCGTATTGGCCATGTTTCAGAGCCATAGAGAAGGACGGAGCGAACTGCTGAGCAGTACACACGTCCCTTGGTTGATAACCGGATGTCACGCCTACGCCAGAGATGGTGTAAGTCAGCGAAAGCAGCTCGAGCTTTTCGGATCCGTGCTGAGATTTCATCGCCAATCAGTCCGTTGGTGCTAATACAACTTCCCAAATAGGTGAAGTGGTCAACATGTTCTATCACTTCACTCCCTATCACTAAGTTAGGAGTTGACGTGGTCCAGTCCTGTAGCAGCATCTTACATTTTGCAGGGGCGAATCGCATGCCAAACATACGAAGATTGCTGCTCAAGGTGTTCAGAAGACTCTGCATTTTGTCAGCATCCTCCCCTAACAGGACTATGTCATCTGCATATTCTAAGTCCATAAGACTATTCCCTGGTAACAAGTCGATTCCTAAGTCACTACGTTCAGTTAAGGATACTTCCATCAGCATATCTATGATGAAGTTAAACAGAAATGGGGAAAGTGGACATCCCTGTCGGACACCACTGGTTGTTACCAATTCAGATGACAATTCCCCATAAGCCCTTACACGACTACGTGAGTTTGAATAGAGTGCCTTGATTAGTGCAATGTACTTAGTGACAGTATAACCAAAAGGATGTTGACAGCTAATGTACACTGTGTCTCAAAGCAACTATGACTATGAATTAGATATTCACTAATTCAGAGTCTCAGTATGCATGTAAACATCTTGATTAAGATTGAAAGATTTACTAGAACTTTTAAACAAAAGTGGGGATAATACTAAATACAAGGGGTTTAGATACACAAGCATCTAGACTGAAAAAAATCCAAGCTGCCCAACAGACAGACTTTCGATATGATAGAGAAGATTTGTAGCTCAGGTGGATGATTTTGATGTGGTTTTGTTCTCTGAGCTGGATGGTTAGTTTGCGAAGCTTTCATCACACAAAGGGTCAAAGTTCAAGTCAAAGAAACAACCGGTTCCAATACAAGTAACCTAGAAGGTGTGAAAACACACATAAACAACCAATCACGTCCAAAGTCACCAGGAGGGATGATTAATAAACTCATGGAGAAATCTAAAAGCTCACTTCATTGAATTGAAGTATGCGCTGAAGATGTCACTCAGTAAGGTGATGAAAGCTTCGCAAACTAACCATCCAGCTCAGAGAACAAAACCACATCAAAAGACAGACTTTCATCAACAACTGCTTTTTCTGGCTCTATACTGAAGATCACATAACGGCCAGAAAGGACTAGCAACAAGAAACACTGGAAACGAACCAACCAATTACCTTTTACCTAACAAATAAGTCGAAGAAAAGGGGTATGGAATGGATACCCACTGAGGAGACCATTGAATGACATTCAGTACTAGATACAACCTCGAATGGAATCCGAATGGGAGGCGACGAGCTGTGCCGTCCAAACGTGACATGGAGGAGATCATGTGAGGAGGGAATGAAAGCTGACGGGGAATCGTGAAGCTAAAATGGCTTGCAGAGAATATGGTGCAATGGAGATGCGCTGCTGAAGCCGTATGTTTCAATCGGAACAAAACGAATAATAATAATAATAAGCCGCCCACTTTAGAAAATTGATACTCTTAATATCCTTCAATGGGACAGTGATTTCAAACAGAAAAGCAGGATTTGTTAGTCATATAGGGCTTTTCTCAACTTAACACGAATCTACACCCACACACACATGTTCATACAGTATACGTGGAGCTAGCTGTGGCTCAATAGTCTAAACATCCGATTACGAACCACCGGGTCACAGGTTTAAACGCCGCTTCATTTACTGACGTTTGGCTGACCGAACTGACACAATACATGCCGGCTTATTGCCATTTCCAGCATACTGAATAACAATTCATGTCTCTTAATATATCTGTAAAACTTGGGCACTGTAGTAGTAAGTAATTCCATATTAGTTTTTGTTTATTAGGTGTATCACACAGTAAGTGAAACAGTATTTATTCACTGGATGACACAGTTTCGAACGAAATTTATTGTTCATAATCATGCCATCAATTAAAATCACACAACTTTTAAACTTGAGTTTTATAGTTTTCGTTGTCCTCTCCTATTTGGCATCGTAAGGGAAGTAGAATTTTCCATATATCTGGCTGGACAGGTGTTGAATCATTCCTATTACACGTATTTGCAGTTGATTCGACAAACAAAGCTTCCTCTGTTATCAATCTCTCCCTCCACTCTGTGACATTAGATTTTAAAACTGTCATCCCATCCCATCCTATTGTATGGTTGTGTGTAACTGCATGTAGTGAGTGGTATGACTGAACCATTCTCTGAATTTCTTATCTTACTCGGGTCAACCAATCTAGATTTTGTTAGGTTTTTATGTTCGGCTAGTCTGACTCCCCTCTTCTACTAGTTTGGCCTATGTATTTGACCTGACAATCATTGCAGGCAAGGTATTAGATGAACTAAATTGTTTTGTTTTAAAGGCTCCACAGGATCCACATTTAACCGACAAAGCTTGTTTCTAATTGAGTTTATGGGTGGTTTGAATGCCACTTTTATTCCTGCATTGTTAAGAATTCTGCGTAAGGTTTCTGAGGTTTCTTCCTTGTATGGAATTACTACTGATGATTTAGATTCCTTATTGTTGGTGTTGTCTTGCGCACATTTGACTTGCATGTCATCATTAATATTTTCTATAGTTATTATTATCATTATTATTATCACTATCGCTATTATCATTATTTATTTTATTTTTACATTTCCCTACACATTTCCTGACTAATTTATCAGAGTAATTATTCAGTTTCAAAGCTTCTTTTATGTGTATCACTTCTTGTCTTAGATTTTCCTTGATACGACTTAGTTTTTGCGCTCTGCCACTTAAACATTTTACCAATCCTATTTTTACTGACATAGGATGGGATCATGTCGCCTTATACAGCATGCTGTAACAGTTAACTGACTCACTTCTTCTGTTTTGTCACCAAAAAAGTGTATTGTACTGTAGTCCTTGAGAAATCGTAAACAGTATCGTTTATCCCAACCTTTCGGGAAGACATCAATACTAATTTGTCCACCTATAATAACAAAAAATAAGAGAAGACATTTTGAGAAAAAAAGAGGTGAACCGAGACAATACAAATATGGATTTTTATGATGTAACCTGCATGAATTATATATATATCTATACTAACAACGGCCGTTTCGAAAATAAACCTGCTTTCTTGACAAATTATTGAAGTTGGGTTACAGTAATCGTGTGTGTATGTAGGGATACGCATTTAACGAAACAAGACAGAAATGACTGATTGACTGAGTTCCAACATAGGACTAATTAGCACAGATGTGCAGCAGTTCGAGTCGCCACACTTCACTTAACACACAAAGCAAGAGGATAAAGTAAAAAGAAATGCAAAACATAGACAGTAAACAGAGATATGAGGCAAAAAACATAGTAATATCGAAGAAGAATATAGTTTTATAGATTATTATAAGTCAAAAGGAGTGAATGCATCTGAGCTAACCATTGAGAACGATTTTGAGTCATATTGTGGTGAGAGCTGGCTGTTAGTCGAAATTGGTGGACAGTAATTTACGTCAGTGTTTGTCCCCAATATTGGTCGTGAGAAAAATGAGAAGAAAGGCTTTGCGTAGGCGGATACAGTTAACATATAGATTATCTGACATTCAAGAAACAGCCACAGAGAGATGCAAGATTAACTTTCTGTGAGAAACAACTAATCAGGAGACTGTGTCTTTCTGCTAACAATAATCTATAATATGTAAATGAAAATCTATAAATATGTGTCGATTTCCTTAATAAACGGTCTGTTGACTGGCCCTTGTCTTCTGTTGTTACAGTAGCACTGACTTCACACTAGAGTTGAAAATCCAGATCTTATTTTCATTTTCATGCTATTGATCTCCATACAGGCTTGAGAGGGATGAAAGCTTGCCTTGCTTACCCTATCCACGCCTTGATACCCTATCAGTTCCATCCGCCTGTTGTTGAAACGATGCCTCCCAGGAAGGTAAGTAAAGGAGGTTGCTTCTTCCAGATTTCTCCCATTTATGCTGATTGCTGTCTGTTGTAGTTGCTGTCGACCAGGAATCTTCATCACCTCTGTTTTTTCTATGTTCACCTATCTTTGTTCTACCTTTGATGCTTCTTCTATCGCCACCTTGTTGCTTTTCACTTGCATATCTTCCAGTTTGTAGGAAATCACACATATACCATCGGTGAAATCCAGATCCTATAAGTGTTCTGTGTAGGTCTATTTTATGCCTGCCTCCTTGTTGCCCGCCGCTATCTATCACACTATCCAGTCTATCGTAATCAAGAAAATCACTGGAGATAGTAGGCAGCCAGCCAACTTGTCTTACCTCCGTCTTCCCGTCGAAGGATTCCGTAGAAGTGAACTTATAACTATATTCCCAAGTAACCATTATCCTTTTATAGCTCATTTATCTGTATATCTATAATGCACTGCTATCTCAATAGTCTTTATTGTCATTGGTTTTTATACCAATATTTCGTCCTCTACACACATTATACTTGATCACTTCGTATTTGTAATATGACAACTAAAGTTCATATTTTAATCAGCACAGTTCTGTCACGCTGTACTTATGTAACAATGTGATTATTGAACTACCAAAGTACAGATTTGCATATATATATATATATATATATATATATATATATATATAATACCTGCACAGCCAGTTACATTAGGCGCACAATTAGGCAGGTTCATCATCATATTTCTGAACATCATCGTTTGTGGTTAAACAAGGGACAAACAGGATTTATTCTCATCTCTGTTTTAGCACATCTTGTAAGCAGTGGTCATAAAGTTGATGTTAATGCAGCAATTAAAGTTTGTTTATCATATTTCGACAAATAATAATTTTGCCTTAACAGTTCATCTCCTGCACACACACACACACACACACACACACCTAAAGCTATCGGAATCTACCTGAAGGAGAAACCAAACCTGTGTGTTCAGAAGAAACTCTTACCGCCACTTACTTTCCTTACCTTGCCCATTGTTACATGAATGAAAAAAACCCTGACTATTTCACCCTTCCTCTAAGCCGTTTAAAAATTATCATTTGCCCAAATTATTTATTTGACTCTTTATTTGCTTGTTACCCCCAATCAACTTGAACACTGGTTTCCACCCTAATTACTATTCATTTTCCCCCCAAATTATGCAATACACAATCCGCTTGTTGTAGCCATTCTATATTAATTTTCTATAGTTTGGTTTGTAAAGGTTAGATATGTTTTTACGAGCTGATCACGGATTAATATCAGTTAGAGAACCATTGAAAACCAGAACTGGAGTACTGGACTGCTATTTCATCTTAATTTTGGAATCATTGGCAGTACGCACTGGAGTTCTAGTGAGAAGTCGTGACCAGTGAGGTCCAATTAGATGTCACGTGTGTGGATGGATGCCTCACCTAAGACAATGGTTGGGGTCGCGCTAAATCATGAAGTGGTAGAAGTTAGAATTCATGAGCCATTGGGTCGGGTCCTAGTGGCTGAATGGTATACGAGCTTGCCTTGTAACCAGAAGGTCCTGAGTTCGAACCACACTGTAGTGGGTGCGTACTGCCGATGATTCCCAAACTAAGATAAAACAGCTGTCCAGTCTTCCCCCAGCTAGTTTTCAATGGTTCTCTAACTGATATCGATCCGTGATCAACTCGTAAAAACATTCCATATTACTTTGTTTATTAGATGTATCACACAGTGAAACAGTATTATTTACTGGATAACACAGTTTTGAACAAAATTTATTGTTCATAATCATGCCATCAATTATGATCACACGACTTCGAAACTTCAGTTTTATAGTTTTCTTTATCCTCTCCTATCTGTCGTCGTTGGGGTATTAGAATTTTCCAGATGTCCGTTTGAACAAGTGTTGAATCATTCCTATTACATGTATTTGCAGTTGATTCGACAAACAAAGCTTCCGCCGTTATCAATCTCTCCCTTCACCCTATTACTGCATTAGATTTTAAAACTGTCGTCTTATCCCATCCATCCTATTGTATAATTGTGTGTAATTGCATGTAGTGAGTGATATAGCTGAACTATTCTCTAGATTTCTTATTCGGGTCAACCAATCTAGCCGAACATAAAAACCTAGCAAGTTTTACAGAAATATTTTTGCAGCCATTTCTATCCTTTAATTGTGGTTATTGATTGACTTCTTGGTTATTTACCCTCTGACATGTTCATATTGACTAATATATATATGGGGAGAGAGCCAGCGATGAGAATCTAATTGAAAACTAAATATTTCTCCGCTCAATCCTTTTGTCTTCAGAATGTCTAAATGCGGATTTTATTTTCTTCTACATTCTTAAGTTTTGTCAAACTTAAACAATTTTAATAACCACGGACTGGAGTATACTGAACAGTTGTTTCGTTCAAGTTTAGGCCTCCTCATCAGTACGTACCCACCGGGATTCAAACATATATACATGCATATATATGTATAAATGGATATTTAACTTACCTATGGCGAATTGTAAAGGAGAATTATGAAACTGTGAACGCATTTCACTGACAAATTTCTCTCGAATTTTATGTTTCTGTAGGGATAAAAGGTATAACAGATAAGAGCATATATATATATATATATATATATATGCGTAATAGTAAATGAATTTTCTTACTGCCTGAGTCAGACGAATAAAAAGACTATGCATGTAAAGTAACAGATAGTAGTAGTGTGGGGATAAAATCAACTCCCTTATATGAACTGCATGTACCTTTATGAGCTTGTATATACCCTTTTAACAATTATGTAAAAGAAAGTCAGATTTGTAATGTACTCGTCACTGAATTATTGCTATGTACTGGTCGAGAATTTAATAGTCCTGACGCAAGAAGGCGGAAATCAGAAGACCACTAGGTTTGCGATGATACTTCTATTTTCCAAACACAAGGAGAAGCAATAAGTGGTATCACACCAAAAATAAGAAGTCACAAAATTGTGAGAGCGAAATATATATAGACAAGGTGTGAACAATCATTAGACAGTCTTAACATGAATGGCTAATTATAATGAAGTATCGATCCATATATACATAGCGAAATATAGCAGACATGTCAACAACCACACATTTATATGGATATATGTCACCAAGCAACGGACTGTCAACAAACACTCATATTATATATAATATAAGGGGAATATACATTGTTAAAGGAGACAAGTTCACACAAGTGAAATGGTCACAGACTAAGTGAGCAAACAGAAAGAGAGACCAACATCACACACACACATAAATATATATATGTGGATACATATCACCTCCCCTTTTGAGAAGATTGATGATTAGTAGGATGTTTACCTGGGGGTTTATCTGGAACCTTTGGGCTTGTTGTTGACGTCTGTCGTTTCGTCTGCCTGTTGGGTTTGCGGCTTCGGCTTCGTCCGGAATTGTCTGACATTTTATGCTTCTTGACTGCATTGCATAGCGAATTTAGTGGGACATCAGCCAGATGCAAACGATCGAACCAATCAAGTCCCAAAAGATTTAAATCACTCTTGGTGACGTAGCAAATTCCTGTGAATTTGGTATTGCGGAAGGAAACAGAACATTTGAGTTCACCAATAAGTTTGAGCCGCCCACCACAGGCGCTGACAGGAGTCTGGGAAGTATTTGCGATTGGTGGTCTGCCAATATTATTCCAAAGTTTCTCTGATATAACAGTAATATCAGAGGCGGTATCTAGCTGCAGACGTGTATCATGACCATTCATCTGAAGATCAAGATATTTCCGCATACCTGGTGTTGTGACTTGACAGGTTGCGCGTAGACTCAATGATCTCCTTGGAGATTTAGGACCAACAGTTTGTCGAGTTTTCGCTGGATTATGATATCTGGGTTTGCGTGGCTGACAAAAACCATTTTTATGACCGATGATTTTGCACTTGCTGCAACGATGATTTTTGTATGGACAAGACTTTACAAAGTGCCACGCGCCACAATGCCAGCATGGTGATGGTGGGGTCTTCTTTGCAGTATTTTGTGAAGTTGGACGAGTATGTGTAGATTTCCGCGGGACATTAGAAGAAGGTGGGTCAGGAGTGGATGATGAGAGATTTTTGCTCTTTCGTAATGCATGAATATCAGAGCTTCTCGAAGGTGTTGATTCGACCAGGTGTGTGTCTTTCTGCAGATTAATCAGCCGTTGATATTCATCAGCTATGTCATGTAATGTTAACTTAGGATTTTGTTCTAGCTGATTGAGCAGTCGAGTTCGGATATCTGTGAAACGAGGAGATTGAAGACTGCATATGAGAATCAAGGCTTTGAACTGATCATCTGTTAAGGACCTGAGTCGAAATCTCTCACATTCTCGGTTGACTGTGCCAACGTGAGTAAGAAAATCATCATTTTCATTCATTGTCAGCTTGAGGCAACGATAACGTATGCTGAATAATGAGGAGTGGTCTCCAAAATGTTCACGCAGCAGCTTTATTGTATCATCGAAACACTTGTCACGTGGTTTCTGGGGTAAAATTAGGTTGCAGTACCGTTCATATTCTGCCGGACCCAATTTACGTAACAACACTCGCACCTTCCAAGCATCGTCTTGTGAGGCGAGATCAACAGTGAATAAATCCTCATAACGTTGATACCATGTGTCAAAAGTGACATTAGCATCTGGATTATAATTGAACTGTGAAATACTATTCACAATTCCGTCGACAGATGGTAGCATGGTATGATTGGGATTGCTTGAAGGTGAAGCTGGACCAGTCTGTTGGTTGACGAACATTTCCATTAATTTCATTTGTTGTTCAAATAATAATTCCAATTTAGAAGGATCCATAGTAAATTGTTATGTTGCTGCTGCTGAGTGGTTAATAGTAGTTTTCCCCGTCGCCAAATTGTTATGTACTCGTCGCTAAATTATTGTTATGGACTGGTCGAGAATTTAATAGTCCTGACGCGAGAAGGCGGAAATCAGAAGACCACTAGGTTTGCGATGATACTTCTATTGTCCAAACACAAGGAGACGAAAATAAAATGGTCTCACACCAAAGTGGTAAGTAAGTAAAGTAGTTCACACAAATTGTGAATGCAAATATATATGACAAGGGTGTGAATCATCATTAGACAGTCTTAACATGAATGGCTAATTATAATGAAGTATCGATCCATATATACATAGCGAAATATAGCAGACATGTCAACAACCAACATATATGGATATATGTCACCAAGCAACGGACTGTCAACAAACACTCATATTATATATAATATAAGGGGAATATACATTGTTAAAGGAGACAAGTTCACACAAGTGAAATGGTCACAGACTAAGTGAGCAAACAGAAAGAGAGACCAACATACACACACACATAAATATATATATGTGGATAGATATCAAGATTATTTCAAAAACGTTGGTATTAACGACGGTGATAAATCAAAAAGAGAATGCTGTTAACATGTGTCATGAAAATCAAGCACTCCTTTGGGATAATCAACATAATGTCTGAAATATGCTAGGTAAGGTAGTCGGTATTTTCCTTGACAAGGAGGTTGGCGAGGTAGTGGGGTGGGGTGGGGAAGACACTAAATATTACCAGTCATTGATGAATGACTTTTGATGAGATGGTTTAAAACCGTTTAAAAAAAGTGAAGATGAATTCATGCTTATCTTATTTGATTAAGTTTCACTCGTATGTCTTCTGCCTGTAATGGCGTCCTATTTTTGTAATCTTTTTATATACTTTCCAGGTTGCAATTAAAGTTAAACTCATAAACTGTTCAAATTGTTTCATTCGTATATGGTCAGGCAATTATTTACTTCTGCATATGAGGACGAAGAATACATTAGAATTATTTGCTTATGGAACTATATATATATATATATATATATATATATATATATATATATATATATATATATATATATATATATATATATATACTAAGTAAGGATTGTGCGTTGGCGGTGCAGCGCTAGAATGCTCGTCAACAACGCTGGGATTCGATCCCCGGCCACAGACGCACTCCTTTACCTCTCTAAGCCAGTAATAAGACTGGTAAAGAGGGAAGGTTAGGCATGAGGCTAGCAACTCCCCTTATCCTGTAAAAATAAAAAACTACTGCCACCGGAGCTTCAAAGCTCTAGCGTGGAGCTCTACTTTCCACTGGGAACGTAAAGAAAATTTTCAAAAAAAAATAATAAATAAAGATTACCATAAACCACTATGAAAGTATTTACATTCTGGGTATACTTTATAACTTAACAGTCATATGACTGACTGACTGGTTTCAACATAGAACTAATAAGCACAGATGTGCAGCAGTTCGAGTCGTCACACTCCCTCCATGTAGCACACAAAGCAAGAGAAGAAAGTAAGAGGAAATGCAAAATAGAGTCAGTAAACAGAGATATGAAGCAAAAAGAATGATAATGTCGAGGAACAGTATAGTTTTATTGAGTATTATAAGTCACAAGGGGTAGATGCATCTGCCCCAGCCAAAAGAACGATTTTGAGCCATATCACCAATTGTCTCTAGCCTTCATTGGTTTTAACCATCCTGAAGACCCCAACCAGAAAGCCAGTCTATACCTTCCTACGTGGCTTAAACTAATTGTTGTAGATTTCATTGACTGATGAAGTCATGTTTTGGTTTGACTACCAGTGACTCTTTTCCAACCTAACCCTATGTCAACTAATATTGCCCGTCGAGGAAGGCAGGAAATGACTAGGCATACGTAACACATGTTCTAACCATCTCAATCGGTGCAACAATCATATAAATACTTTTACGCATTAATCAATGAATTACATCAGTTAAGAGCTTATCTATCCCTGTAGACCCCGGTAGAAGCACTATTTTGGAACAAAATCTTATTGGTTGATTATTGCCTATCTAAAGTATTAGGTCACAGATCAAGTAAACATCTTAATTAATCTATCATTTCAACAAAAAATAACTAACAACACAAATAAGCTTTAATTCATTTTTTTATTTTCGACTATAGCTTGATTCCCCACAGTATTTTTAGTACAACTATGGAGTTTTCAGCATGTGATATCGGTAGGCCAAATTTAGCAGGCCGACCAGTGATATCAGGTGTGCGTTGGCCGGGATTGAACCCCGGACCATGTACATAGTCGGTGGGCGTCCTAACCTGTGTCACCGACTGATACTGATACTAACTACAGGAATACACTTTGGAGTATATACATATATGATTTTGTAAATTCAAACACTTTAGGATACAGTAGTCTTCGTTTAAAAATACAACAAAGGTGAACTACATCACGCCGTAATAGTAACTTTTAACCATTTTAATCAGACAGGCAAAGATTGAAGTAAAATACTGTATTCAGATTCTATTCTAAGTTCCCGAATTTAAAACCTAGGTGAGGTATCTTTTTTTATTCCTTCACGCTCCCAGTGGAACATAGGGCTTACAGATAGAGGCTTGAAGTTTCTGTAGCAGTGGTGTTTATCTTTACGGGATGGGGGGAGTTGCTAGCCTCATGCTCAACCTTCCCCTTTAACAGTCTTATTACTGGCTTAGCGAAGTAAAGGAGTGCGTCTGTGACCGGGGATCGAATGCCGGACCATATGCGTCGTCGGCGAGCATTCTACTTCTGTGCCACCGGATGAGGTTTTTAAGGAACATCAAGATGGTCACACCTTTTTACTCCAAAATGTAGTCATCAGTAAACAAAACAAAATCTTACAGCATCATACTCAGCAAATTCATCTCGTTCTAATTGTGTACAACTTCGACCAACGGGGCAAATATTTATCAAACCATTCCTAAATTCAATAAAATTCCCTCTTTTCTTCGGAAGTTGAAGGTTTGATAGATAGTGTAAGCAGAAGTTAATAAACTTCTGAAGGATATCTTCACCAACGTATTCAACGATATTCTGAAATAAAGTGTTATGTAAATGAATATCAACACACACACACGTACTGTGCAACTTGTTTGACTTCCATAATTATGAACAACTAAACCATTTTCGGAGAAGATATATGTGAACATATTTACAGCTTTATGTCAAGATTAGACGTGGTAATTATATGTTCTTACCAGAATCTCCAATCTGCCAAGAAACTTTAGGAAAATCAGAACCGCTAACCACAGCGATGGGTATTTTGGTAGATACTTTTTGCAAACATTGAAGCATTTCCTCTGTTATTTTATTTCGTGGTTTTGTCAGTGTTCCATCGACATCAAAAAGACATATGACATCCGTATTCATGATGAATGAATGTCAAAACTGAAAGAAATAAAACCAAACTAACTGTAACATCTTTACACCAAGAAGCTTATAGAAATACCAAGGCCAATTTTGTCTTGAAGGGAGATTAGTTACAGAACTATTAAAAGACCAAGGAGCACCAAGGAAAGGTTACTTTGCCCTGGCTTGAGATACTTCAGCAGTATGCAAGCATCCCTCCACCACTGATCCCACCAAGGATCTTCATGTTACGAGACAAGCACGTTATCACTCAACCAGTGGGTCAGAATAGAACGGCTTGTGAATTCTAATTTCTGTTAACTCGCTCGCGGTGTGGCGCAATTCCACTTTTGGTGAAATCAGTCGATTTTCAAAATACAACGCTGAAAGAACTCCATCACAAAATAATTCGCTTTAGCCTGTGTATCCCTCAGCTTAACCTGGCTAGAAACGAATAGTAAACACAGTATGAAAGGAGCGTTTATAAGGTATGCATTGCCTGCATAATTAGTATTATGTCCTAATAAAAGATTAGATGGATTAAACGAAATGTTGCTCAAGAACCACTTGCCATTCCACGTGAAGAGGGGCTCGAACTCTTGGTCCACTCGTTGGAAGTCGAGCACTTAAATTAATGGGTCACAATTCCACAACGGTTCAAACACGTACACAATACTGACGGGTGGATAAAAACCGTATCTGATGACCACAAATCAAAACCACAACTGCAGCGAAAATCAGTGAGAAATAAAACGAAAGTCAATCACGCATCCAACCTTGAAATGCACTAAAGTCATTGACTAATGTCTTAACTGATGCCTTAACACTAATTACAAATACTTAAAATTTTCATAACTTTTTCATTATTTATTTTACATATCTACCCTACCGAAGTTCTCTTTGATGGAGGATATGGACTTTGCAGGAGTTACTCATAACTCATATGAAATTTTCCAAGGAAGAGTCGTGAAATACAGTGGATAAGTATTTTCGGGCGAAGTTAAACTGTTGCCGATATCCCGAATGATCCTAACACTTGTCTTAAGCAACAAATCAAAATGAAAGAGCAATAAATTCCATTGATTTTCAAGAAAAAGATAGATAAAGGTCATTGTGTTTTAAGATTATTTTATATTTCTGACTTTGTTCTCTACTCTGCCTCAAAATCCCAATCGCCCATGCCAATCTTCCTCCACAAAAGCATACTTTATTCACTCCAACCCGTATGTTATTCACACAGTAATCAAACCCCCGATCAACCTCGAGTTCATTAGGCAAACCTAGAACAGATGGTGTAATTTGATTTGGCTACGCAGGCTGCAACGCGATGGCTTCGTATGGAACAAGCACTAATTCCTAGACATTATTAAAAGGGATTAATGCTATTTATTGCACATGAAGTACTTTTAATCTTAGAATATTTCCAATACCCAGGCTTATAGTATAATTGAAAAACTATGAACGTATCGATAATGTCGCATAATGATGAACTGGTGCTCTGTAAGCTTAAAAACCCCCAGTTCATGCTAAAATTGTGCTTAATGCCGAGAACCAGAGATCAACGTTATAGTAATGATTAGGGTGTGAGAATAGTACATATTGTTATAGACGCAAATCAAGATACATTTCGAACACTGAAAGAACTCACGAGATATATAACTGAGAGATGACTCGAAAGTGATTACGCTGCCTCGCGTGGTAAAAGCTAGCAGTAACCTTGGGAAGCCAAATTAGACACGTCAAATGCTCAGTATGTCCAATATCAGATTCAGATGATAAGGATAGAAGGCTCTTGTGGCCTGTGTTAATCCTTGCAAAATATATTTCTGCAGAGATCTAACTTCTCTTCGAAAGCTTTCACCGATGGAGCTGATACTAATGAATCAAGTAAGGAGTTCCAGTCGTTAACCACTCTGTGAGATAATCTAAATTCTCCACGTATTTTAATCACCCTTGGTTTGAGCATCTTTTTGCAGTGACCCCGTAAATGTATCCTAGAAGGGGAGAAAAGGTTAGAAAGGTCAGTTCCTAAACCACCCTTAAGCATACGGTATGCTAAAATTAAGTCGCCTCTCTTCTTTCGGTATGATAACGGGAAGAGATTTAAATGCTCCATCCTCATGTCATAAGGAAGGCGTAGGATACCACCAACTAATTTTGTTCCTACCCTCTGTACTCTTTCCGGGATATGTGCCTCTTTTTTGAAGCATGGACTCGCCGCTTGTATGCGCTGTGAGGCCTGACATATGTTGCGCAGAGTATTTGGGACATACACCTGTCTAATCGTTTCAAAGCCCTTCGAAGTGCCCATAGCATTCGAAAAGCCTTAGCTACGGCTGCATTGCCATTTGCGATCGTTTTCAAATCATTGCTGACAGTTATTCCTAGGTCCTTCTGTCCGTTTACATCAGGTAGTTCTGTGTCGCCTAGGGAGCACGGCGTATAAGACTTCTGACCTAACTGCATTACCGCGCCTTTCCTCGAATTAATTTCCAAACTCCACAGGTCCGACCACTCAGTTAATTTATCTAGATCAGTTTATAGGGCCAACCTATCCTTGTTGTCATCTACACTTTTCCAGATCTTAATGTCGTCCGCAACCTCGCCAGATACTAGCTTGCTAGGCTACTAGCTTACTAGTTTTCTCGCCGGTCCCAAGCCCGGGTAAAGAGGGAGGGTTGGGGCGTGGTGCTAGCAACTCCACCCCTGTAAAACAACCAAATCGCTACAGAAACTTCAACGAATAAATATATTAAAAATTCTAAAAACATAAGCAATAGCCTTACTTTTCGCTGGAATCGGGGAAGTGAAATGACGCAGGCTGGTGAAAGCCTTCGGGAAGCCAGTCAGCCGATGTGCCTTCTTTCGATGAAAGCAAAAGTAAGGATGGGTACCTGGAATGTTCGCACAATGTACGAAACTGGAAAGGCTGCCCAGATAGCCGCTGAAATGAGAAGGTACAGAATAGAAGTGTTGGGAATCTGCGAAAGCAGATGGAACGGAACTGGAAGGTGCCAACTACCTACTGGAGAGACAGTAATCTATTCCGGCCACCTAGAGGACAACCATGAGCACACCGAGGGAGTGGCCATCATGATGTCACCAACAGCAACCAAAGCTCTCATGCAGTGGGAACCAATCTCCTCCAGGATAATGACAGCCAGGTTCAACTCAAAAGGAAGGAAAGTTACAGTCATTCAATGTTATGCGCCTACAAACGTCTCAGAACAAGAGAAGAAGGAGGCGTTCTACAGACAACTACAAGCAATAATGGACAACGTCCCAAATGGCGATATCAAAATCCTGATGGGCGACATGAATGCGAAGCTGGGAGGAGACAACACAGGAAGAGAACTCACCATGGGTCGTGAGGCCCTCGGTGAAATGAACGACAATGGTGAACTCTTCTCAGACTTCTGCGCCTTCAATGATTTGGTGATTGGCGGTAGTGTGTTCAAACACAAGGATATACACAAGACGACATGGATTTCACCAGATGGAAACACCAAGAACCAAATAGACTTCATCTCAATTTCAAGAAAGTGGAGACGGAGCCTACTGGACACAAGGTCAAGGAGAGGAGCAGATGTGGGTTCAGACCACTATCTAGTACAAGGGACTTTCAAGGTGAAACTAAAAGCCTCGAGGATAGCTGGGGATAGGCCACAATGCAAGTTCAACACTCAAAAACTGAAGGACACAACCACAAAAGACACCTTCACTGCAACTGTCAGAGCAAAGCAGGAAACACTACGCGACATCACTGAAGAATCATGCGTGGAAGAACATTGGAAGTCTCTGAAGGCGATTCTCAACGAAACGTGTTCAACGGTTCTAGGAAGAAAGAAGAGACAAGACAAGGAATGGCTCTCAACGGACACTTGGAAATTAATAGAAGAGAGGAGAATGGTGAAAGAGAAAATGATTCAATGCAAGGACGGACAGGAGAAGGAGACGCTGAGCTCAACTTACAAAGCACTGGACAAAGAAGTGAAAAAGAGTGCTAGGAAGGACAAAAGACGATTCTACGACAATCTAGCCACTGAAGCTGAAAAGGCAGCAGGCAAAAGGGACCTGAGGACACTATATCAGATAACCAAATCTCTATCCGGGAAGAGATCAACACAAGCGAAACCTATAAAAGACAGCCAAGGGAACCCAATTACCAAGGAAGAAAAACAGATTAAACAATGGGCGGATCACTTCAAAGGACTCTTGAACCGACCATCACCTGCAACCCGTCCAGAAATACCAACAACAGCGCGCACACAACTGCAAGTTGACACCAATCCTCCAACGAGAGCTGAAGTCTTGAACGCAATCAAGCTTCTGAAAGCAGCCGGACCAGATGGAATACCCCCTGAAGCACTGAAAGCGGACCCAGAGACTACAGCAGACATGCTGACTCCATTATTGCAAAAGGTCTGGAAGGAGGGAAAGGTGCCTACTGACTGGAGGAAAGGTTACCTCGTGAAACTACCAAAGAAGGGCGACTTAGGCCCACTCTGCAAGAACTGGCGAGGAATCATGCTCCTATCGACGCCAAGTAAAATCCTGAGTCGCATCATCCTGGAGAGATTAAAGGACGCACTGGAGACAGAACTCCGACCAGAACAAGCTGGATTCAGGAAAGGCAAATCATGTACTGACCAAATTGCAACTCTACGCATCATCATTGAACAAAGCATGGAATGGCAATCAAACCTCTACCTCAACTTTATAGACTTTGAGAAGGCCTTCGACAGCGTTGATCGTGAAGTAATTTGGAAATTACTCGAGTACTATGGCGTACCCCAAATATTCATCAACCTTATTCAACAGCTGTACGACAACGGCACCTGCCAAGTGATCCACAACGGAAAACTCAGCGAGGCGTTTGGAGTAAACACAGGAGTCAGACAAGGGTGCTTACTATCACCAATGATATTCCTAATTGTGGTGGACTGACTGGATTATGCGTCAGACTGTGGGAAACGAGAAGACAGGAATATCCTGGACCGACGTGAAGAACCTAGAAGACCTGGATTTCGCGGATGATTTATGTTTGATGTCACACACAATCGAAGACTTACAAGCGAAAACCGACAAACTGGTCGAAGAAGCAGCCGGCGAAGACAGGACTCCAGGTGAACATAGACAAGACGGAGGTTATGAAAATAACCAACCAACAACAGCAACAACATCCAACGTCAATCACCATCAACGGGAGGGATTTGAAAGAGGTTACTTCATTCACTTATCTAGGGAGCATTGTCTCAACTACAGGAGGAGCGGACGAGGATGTCAAATCGAGCGAGAATCGGGAAGGCGAGAAACACATTCATCAACCTGAAATCAATCTGGAAATCTTCGTCACTCAGCATCAACCACAAAAGTCGGATTTTCAATACAAACGTAAAGTCAGTTCTTCTATACGGATCAGAAACTTGGCGGGCGGGTCACAAAGAATATTTCCAACAGGCTGCAGACCTTTATTAACAACTGTCTTCGCTCAATACTGAAGATCAGATGGCCGGAAAGAATCACCAACAAGGAATTATGGGAACAAACAAAGCAAGAACCAATCGCCCAACAAATATGCAGGAGAAAGTGGAGATGGATCGGACACTCGCTGAGGAGACCGCTGGGTGACATCGCGCGTCAAGCCCTCGAGTGGAACCCGAAAGGGAAGCGGCGTGTGGGACGTCCAAGGGTGACATGGAGGAGATCGTGTGAAGAGGAGTTGAAAGAATATGGATTAACATGGATGCAGGCGAAAAGTATAGCAGAAGACAGAAGCAAATGGAGACGTGCAGTTGAAGCCCTATGTTCCACTAGGAACCCAAGGGAGCAATAATAAATAATAATAATATCGTCCGCAATTAATAATGAAGATGAAGTAAGAATCCCCGGTAGTTCATTAACGTATAATACGAATAGCAAGGGGCCTGTAGCGGTAAATAATTCCCCAAAATTCTTGACCACAACAATCACTAATCATTGGATGCGACCACCACTGTTTAAGTCGACTTGTTTAGCTGAAGGCTTCCGGTCAAGCATCCCCGCCATTTGGTACCCCGTCGTGTCACGTGCACGATTACTAGCTAGCCAAGCGTTCGTCTGACGGTTTGTTTTGGTCCCGAAATATATCGCGTAGTTTGGACGATCAAATATTGTCTTTTGCTTTGTTTTTGGTACGCGAGAATAAATAAATTAGAAGTCGCTGAACAAGAGATTCAGTCAACCTCTAGAAGGCCTAATACAGTTCTCTGAGGAACTTCACTGGATACGGCTTTCCACCCTGATAGTACACCGTTAACTCCAACCTTCTGCCTCATATCCATTAGGTAACCCCTAAACCACTCACATAAGCGTCGGTCTAATCCGAAACCTTCAAGTTTACCAAGGAGACCTAAGTGGGTACTTTATCGGATGCCTTGCAAAGATCAATAAAAATCACGTCCAACAGAAGTTTTTATCTCTGGCCTCAACCCAGTCTTCCCTAGCCAATAGTAGGCTTGTCAGCAGGATCGTCCTGGTTGGAATTCATGCTGTTCCACAGCCAGCAAGCCATTTTTTTCAACATAAGCTAATAGCTGATCCCTTATAATAGTTTCCAATACCTTTGCTATAATGCACGTCAGATTTACCGGCCGGTAGTTAGATACTAATTGCCTATCCCTATTTTTGAAGATAGGGCTGATAATGGCATCCCTCCAGTCCCTAAGTAGCCTACCCTGGGGCTAAGATATTTGGAAAATCCCCGTAAGTGGAATATG